GTGATTGCAGATGGGGGGGCTGCGCGCGCGCGCCAACCCCCCCGCTGTTTTAAGCCGTGTGCAAGGTTGCATGACAGCCTAGGAGTCGTTCGCTGCCCCCCCCAACCTCCCCGCTGTTATAAGCCGTGTGCAAGGTTGCATGACAGCCTAGGGGTCGTTCCAAAAAGAACCGAGCCAAGCCAGACGAAGAAAAAAAAACTGCCGCCAAAACAACCCTCCGCCCTTCCCAAGCCCGACTGAGCCAAACCAGACGAAGAAAAGAGCCGAGCCAAGCCAGACGAAGAAAAAAAAACCGCCGCCAAAACAACCCTCCGCCCTTCCCAAGCCCGACTGAGCCAAGCCAGACGAAGAAAAGAGCCGAGCCAAGCCAGACGAAGAAGAAAAAAAATACATCCGCCCTCCCCGAGCCTGACCGAGCCAAGCCAGACGAAGACAAACAAAAACCCCTCCACCGACACATTATACAAACCCAAAGTTCTGTACTGTTGAATTGTGAGTAATTGTGAGTACGACTGCGAATGCTGTTAATCATCCCGGCTCCTTAAAGTAGAAGTCTCACACTAACGCTTATAGTATCTCTTATAGACGCCTTTTAAGGAAGCCTTCAAGTTAATATCGCGAGGAAGGTGAAGTTAGTTGTGAAGTGAATGTCATCGAGACGACGAGTCGGTGACGGCTGGATGTTGCTCTCGGGTTTCTGCGTTTAGGGCTTGGTGCTTGAGGGTTTCTGAGTTTAGGGCTTAGTGGTTTAGGGGTTTCTGGGCTCAGGGTTATGAATCTACAGTGGTCAAAACGAGTTTGCAGCCACGGGCGCTAGAGTACCTAGCTCGCCTTTTGCACAACGGGATATGAATGTGTAGCACTTGTGTCTTTAATTTTGGGGTTCTTGTAGAGCGCTTTGCATAAAGACCTTGTCACCAGGTTTAGCCCAATTCAGGTTTGGTGTTTTATGTCCCTTCACACCCTACCAACAGTTTCAGTTTCCTTTTGGGGCCCCATTGAGGATCCTAAACACAAACTTGGTCACACCAACAAAGGAACTACAATCGAGGCTATAGGTAGGCCCCCAAAGCCCAGTCCGACGGTGGATTACTAGAGCCCTGCCCCGGACATGCCTGAACTATAGTACTAGCAAGCTTGTCCCCTCATAAAAGGACTTGCAAGTAAGGCGCTTGTATAGCCAACAGTCGTACTTTGGTCTTCTGGTGATTCAAGTCCTGAACCCAAAACCCTCCTAGTATCCCAGGCACCGACGTACCCCCGCCCGGCCAGTCCCCCACCGGGGGGGGTTGGCACAGGTACGCCGCGAGAGCGAGAGAGAGAGAGAGAGAGAGAGAGGGGGGGCGGGGGGTTGAACCCGCAGTGAACTTCGCGTTCGGGCTTTTAAGGTTTCAGGGCATGGCAAATAATACTTGTCAAGGAGTGAATCTCCTGCAAGACAAGGCTAAAATCGTGACGTTGTAGTAATTCTTGTGCTCAAAGCTTCAAGCCCGCTGCATTCCGTCAGCGTGTATTCTTGCTTGCATGACAGAACTATGTTGAAGGCTGGAGACTGCAAGGGCTGGAGGGTTGAAGGCTGGAGGGCTGGAGTCCTGGCTGGAGGAAGGCTGGAAGGCGGGAAGGTTTGGCTTCCACCCTTGAACCCTAAACCCCAAACCCACGAGACCAGCCCAGCCTCCAGCCCTCCAGCCCTCCAGCCTTCCAGCCTTCCAGCCTTCCAACCTTCCAGCCTTCCAGCTTTCCAGCCTTCCAACCTTCCAGCAGCCCCTTCCAACCTTCCAGCCTCCAGCCCAGCCTCCACCCCTCCACCCCTCCACCCCTCCAGCCCTCCAGCCTTCCAGCCCTCCAGCCCTCCAGCCTTCCAGCCTTCCTCCAACCTTCCTTTTTTTTGGGGTGGAGGAAGGCTGGAGACTGAAAGGCGCTGGAAGGCTGGTTGGAAGGCTGGAAGGCTGGCCTGTGGGCTGGAAGAAGGCTGGAAAACTGGAAAGCTGGCTGGAAGGCTGGAAGGCTGGCACGCTGGAAGGCTGGATGGGCTGGAGGCAGGCTGGAAAATGGAAGGCTGGAATGTAGGAAAGGTTGGAAGGCTGGAAGGCGTGAAGGCTGGAGGGCTGGGGAAGGCTGGCAGGCTGGAAGGCTGAGGGTTGGGTCTGGAAAACTGGAAGGAGGAAGGCTTGAAAATTGGCTGGAAGGTTGGAAGGTTGGAGGGCTGCTGGCTTGCTGGAGGGCTGGGTTTGGAAAACTGGAAGGTTTTTCCTCCACTTCGGGAAGGCCAGATTTATGGAAGATGGTGACTGCCAGGATTCGGGATGTTGTCACGGTAAAAGGAGTCGCAGAAGATGGTTGGGTTCTTAGTCGGGGGTTCAAGCTCAAGGGTGTAGGCTTCGAACTTCAAAAGCGCAAGGCCCCTGCCAAAGGCATGAGCACAGAATGCCATCATCAAAGCAACGGCGGAAGATCGGACTATACGACGGGGTTTCGTGGGTGACAGGACGGCGTTCTTTTACCTGCGAAGGACCTCGGCTGTTTTAGCGTGGCCATTGGCCTCATCAACAGGTCAGCGCATCCAGAGGTAGCTGTGGGTTCCCATTCAAGTCTCCGAAGTTAAAAGCCAATTGCATCCCCATTACTTGTTGCTGTTAATATTAATACATGTAAGCTAAAAACTGCCCAAACATTTGCTTCAACGGTTGCCGTCATATTCATGCTTATATTAAACTTCCATTAAGAACCGCGATCCTTGCTGTCTTCGCTCCTTGCATTCTGCCTCTGCCGCTGCCCCAAAACTCTTGAAGCGTAAACTACGGACCCTAAATCCCACATCCCAATGCTCATTCACCCTGACCTGTACCCCGAAACTCTTACATCGTGAACCCAACCACCCTCAACACAAAAACCTCGCACACCGTAGACCCATACAGAAACTCTCGTGCAATTGACGGCCGAGCGCGAGGCCTTTGCGTGCACAGGCCGCCTGTCAGGCCCCGCTGGGTCTGGGTGTTCTGGGGGCCTGCGTAATAAAAGGGTGTAAAAGGGTCTCTTAAAGGTTGTTGGAAATTTGTTGGAATACAGACTGGAGGCCCAGAAACTGGCTACCGTCCTGTGGTCATATACGGGCAACACTGAGCTGAGGGCTTCGTCCTGCGATGTCGCGCTTTTCTGGTGATCTTCGGGGTTGGGAGCATCAGGGGGCGCATGTGTATATTGTATATCTTCTGTACCCTGTGGGTCGTTCATGTACTGTAGAGCAGGGCTTTTGAACAGCGGCTTTCTATTTTCGGTTGCTGGCAACAACTGTCGAACCATACTCCTCTTGAGCAGTGTTTGGTGGTGCAGTGGCGCCTAAAAACTTTATAAAATATAAACCCAAAGTCTGTCTGGACATTGAAGACGAGGGGGCGATAGAGGGAAGCCGTATAGGAACCTGTGACAGCTTCGGCCGGGCAGGGCCGAGGCGAATCAGTCATTAGGTTGTTTTTGCATGCTGATTTGCTTTTCCATCATGTTCTGGTGGCTTTGAGAAGAGAAATTTCCAGTGCACGTAGCTGCTACTGCCGCAACCGCGCTTCCGGTTGTGGCAGTGGTTGTGGTTTTTGTTGTTGTTGTGGTGTAGTTCCGAACCACACGTTGCCGTTGCCTTGCCGCAGGTTGCCGTGGTCGTGCTTCCTTCTGGACCCAGGTCCGGACGCGCCAACGCCAAATGGTTGGAAAAAAATCGGGCAATCTAGGGCAGCTGTCAGAAAATCATGAGATTTGCAAAGCTTCGGTTGCGACATGTTGTCAAACTAGGCATACCTGTAGTTGTCCATCTGAGAGTCCAGCTGCATTTGTAAAACCGAGTCCTTTACCAAAAAGCGTGCAATCATTGAGACTCGTTGTTCTCATGTGGCCTGGTTTATCGAGTCCAGCTATTCTAAGCTGGCCAAACCACTGTCGGGAAAGCTTATCCGCCAAAATCCTTGTAGGGAGCCGAGTGGACTAAATAACGACTATTGCATTAAGGGCGACGATACAAAAACTCGCCCGAATCATGGGCAATCTAGCCTTAGTCTAAGATTAGTATAGTATAGTTTCGTCGCAATACGTGCGCCAGCGAGATCTAACCCAAGTTAAGCTAGACCACGTCTTCTTTGCCGCCCTACATGGTTACACCTATTCAAGAGAACGATAGGCACGGCGTTGTATCCCGGTGTGCCAAGTTTGCTGCCTCTCTTGTGATTTTCCACCGCTTGCCCTCTTCAGACATCGCTTAAATTAGACGCATGAAAGTGACCACTGAGATACTGAAGGGAACGATGCCCTGGACTGCACAACTACTTTCCATAAGGAGCGAGATGACCCTGCGAGGAAGAAGGGGCTTAAAACCGCTTAGAGCATGTCTTTGCCCAGGGTATCTGGGATATGCGAAGTGTCCGAAAAGCCAAACTGCTCACATTTGTGTTGTTTCCACCACCGGACCCTTCAAGAACACATGCAGGAGCTGCTGGCGGCTGGTGCGCCGCAAAGCCAGTGTGAGCTGAGTTACATTTTGTATGAAAGCTGAGATGTGCATGTGTTTGGAAGCGTTCAGGCTTCAAGACCTTGGGACACACCAGAGACACATGCCGTAACTTCGGGTCTCTGGTAGAAGGGACTTCACTTCCGAACCCTCCCAAGAGGGGGCTAGTTGAAGGCAGGTTGGGGGCTCATTCTCTGCTGTGGGTCTCCCAAGCTACCCTTCCTAGGCCTCCCGTCAGTGTGTGATGGTTGAGACGTATGGGTGGTTGTCAACACTATGGTCCCAATTTTGGGTCCCTAATACAGTACGGCACCTAATATTTAGGGCTCCCAAAAAGGGACCCTAATTTTGACAACCACCCGTATATCAAATCGTGTAAACATATATGGTTCAAAAGGGCAGATAGGTTTAGCCACCAACGGTGGCAGAAGGACCCGAACTAAAGCAGGGCTATGCAGGAGGCAGTCCTAGTTCAGAGCAACCCTTCGCCGTGGTAAACCTCGCAATGCCGGCGTTTGGAGTTCCTGGCTATGCGTTGCTGCTCTTGGCTGCGGCAAACGGTCAGTGGCCGCCCGGCTGTTTGAGAAAATCCTAGGCGGATCTTCGGATCAGACAGGATCCGAAACTTCAGGTCTCGGTTCTGTTGGGGACGGTGCAGGGTGCATAGGATTGCATAGGTTTGGGCTTCGAAAAGGCTGTCTTGGTACCCTGGCTTTGGGATCAATGCGTGGGACCTGGGGTTTCAGGTGGTCACTATGGCAGTTTCAGCGAAGAAACGTTTTTATGAGAGTGCTGTGTAGTCTCTGTGCCTGATATCGATTTCCATGTAAACCCCCTCCCGCATCGGATCTGGCTTTGTCAGCTGGCGCGGTGGGAAAAACAAGACCTGGCCCGGGACCCTTCCGGGCCCTTCCGCCTGATGACATCAGATCCTGGTTAAGAGACTTATCTCGAGCATATGCCTCAAATAAGTAAGGCACAACAAAAGAAAGTTTGGGTTTGCAATGTCTAACTCAGAGCCAAGACTCAGGAACGACTCCAATGGCAGCGACTTCGAAAACGCAGAGTTCAACTACACTAACCGATCGGCACCTTGGCAGGTGAGTGGTCTAGCACGGCTTCTTCCAGCTGAAGTTGGAGCAGGCTTGATTGCATTTAGTGCACAAAGGCCACAGAGGCCACAGAGGACTGGGAAAAGATAGCACAACCGCACATGGGAGATTTCGGCAGTAGTGATACATGGTGATACATGGTGTCGGTAGAAGTTTGGTTTAGCCTGATCGCAGCAAATGCACTTAGAACATACACTGCAACCGAAACCGTAGTGGTAGCAACCACGAACTTCACCCTGGACCCTGTACCCTAAACAGGAAACACTAATCCAAAGGAAGTGAGTGTACCTGTCATGAAACATGCCTGCTATCCCCCGCAGCCTGCTGATTCTGCATCGTCCGAGCTGCCAGGGTCCAAACTTTGAAGAAAAGAAGTCTGAGTCACAAAGGCAGTGGAGCTTTCCTCCTGTCCACCGCGGTCCACAGAGAGTGACGATTCTCTGGCAGCTACCGGGTGCCCGGGCTTTTCTTCGATTGGGTGTCCAGGGTTTTTGGAATTTGGCTTTTTAGTGGTTTATGTTGGAGGCTACGGTTCGTATGTGTTTGTTGTTTTTTTTGTGCGTGCACGTGTGTGCAGCTCGTGTGTGCATGCGCAGGTGGACATGTGCACATGCGCACGTGCGAACGTGTGTGTGTGTGTGTGTGTGTGTGTGTGTCTGTTGGTGTGTGCGTGTGTGCGCGTGTGCGCGCGTGGGTGTGTGCGCGTGGGCGCGTGGGCGCGTGGGCACGTGGGCGCGTGGGCGTGCGCGTGCGCGTGTGCGTGTGCGTGTGCATGTGCGTGTGCATGTGCGTGTGTGCGTGTGTGCGTGTGTGCGTGTGTGGGTGACTGTGGGTGTGTGGGTTTTTGGGTGTGTGGGTGCGTGGGTGTGTGGGTGCGTGGGTGTGTGTGCGTGTGTGGTGTGTGTGTCTGTGTGTGGGGTGGGTGGATGGGTCAGTGGGTGGGTGGGTGGGTGGGTGTTTGTGTGTATATTATATATATATATATATATATATACTATATGTATATATGTATATATGTATATATGTATATATGTATACATATATATATATATATACATACATATATATATATATATATATACATATCTGGATACGCATATATTTGTCCCCTGTCTTTCTCTGGACATGTCACTGGTCCTACATTTGCTCCTGCACTTCCTTTGTTGCTGTTTTGCATTTCGGATGATCCAGCTGATATCTACGGCGAAACCTGCATAGAAGACACGCCACTACATGAAGCAAAGAGACACACACACACACACACTCGTATCTCAGCGGAAGAAGAAGTGGCTCGGATCCCAGGGCACACCACCACTGATCCTGAACTCATTCTTGAAAGTCCCCTAAACCCTAAAGCGAGTGTGCGAGTCGAAACCCTAAACCGACAAGGCTGACCGGCCCGGAGCTTTGGGGCAGCGGCCTCGATCCCGGCGCCAGCTCCTTCGAGGAGCTTCCCCTGTAGCTGCTATTTGATGTACTTGTGTTTTCAAAAATAGGACATGGTTAGGGTTTATAGGTAGTCAGGTTCGTAGTATACCGTAAGAGCTGTGAAGGAACGTCAGATTGTTGCTTTGGGGCGGGTGTGTGGGTTCAGGATTCAAGGAATCACCGTCAGCAAAGTCGGTGCTTTCGAGGATCGCTCCGCCGCGCATGCTGAGTGGCGCACGTGACCGGGCTTAAGGCCCAAGGCTCCTTAATGTTTAGGATTTTCAAGGGTCTGCCTTCTCGACAACCTCAAGCCTGAACTCTGGAAGCTTGGCTTAGCAGGTGGCGTGGAGTTTCTTCAAGGCACGTCCGCGAACAGGTCAACCTTGAACTAAGCCCCAATGACACCCTGCGTCCCGAACCCCACAAGCCCTAAACCCCACAAGACGCTTTCCTGGACCCTCCATCCACCCTCTATTTGCCCTAAACGGCCATAGACCTCTATTTAAGGGTACATGCAGGGTCCTGGTTCTCACAAGAACCCAGCTCCCAACCCCCGCAAAACTGGGGGCAGCTCAGGTTCGTGGCTCCGGAGCGCCAGAGATTCTCGCGGCTTGGGGAGTCCGGGCCGCCGACCTTCGCCGGAAGGCGGGGGCCTCAGAGGTTTAGGGTTTAGGGATTAGGGTAAGGGAGGTGCAGGGCTTCGGGATTTTTATAGGATGAACGAATTAGGGTCTCCGGTAGGGTTGAGGGTTCAGGTTGTGTGTTCAAAGGAGTTGCAGGGTTTGCGGCGTAGACGGCGTAGAGTTGAGGCATGTTGAGGCTCTAGGGTGTAGTGCAGGGTTTAGGCTGAAGTTGTTTTTCGTTCTCGAGTTTTTCAGGAGTTATTGACGTTTTGGCCGATTTGAGCGATCTGGTTTATAGGCTTGGAGGTACCGGATTACGTAGCCCATGGCAGGTTCTTCATAGAGTTGGTAATGCGGATCACATATCGGGATTCGCAATCAGGCGGTGTCTCAATCAGGTCCGAGATTGTTGGATTCGGGGAGAATTTCAATGAGCCTCAGTGAGGATTTAGGGTCTACGAGAGTCTACGGTAGGTTTCGGAGCTTGGTGCTTATGCGGAAGCAGCTGTGAGGGCTTTAGGAAGTCTAGGGCTCATGTTGAGCTTCCCGGGGGTTTCGGGAAAGGCTCGGCTCGAGGGCTCCTTGGGGCTTTAAAGGGAACTCCAGAAAGTTGGGGAATATGATTATCCTAACCCTTCTATGGTAAATTATAGGGTATCCTACCATGAAACCATATTCCAACTTTCTGGAGTTCCCTGTAAGGAGGTTTCATAGGTTTGGGGTCTTAAGGGGTTCTGACTTTTGGGGCTTCTGGGAGATAGGTTGTGGTTTGCTTCAGTGGTGTGCTTCATGGTCGGAGTCACGAAATGCGAATTTAGGGTGTGGGGTTGGGAGTATGGTGTTGAAGGGCTTAAAACGTCTGGAATCTAGGATTGGTGTTCAGATCAAATCTGGGCCAAGGCTTCGAAACAGGTAGGCAGCCGAAAATACCTGGAGCTCATTTGAGCCTACATCCTATGTGCTCGGGGGCAGTGAACCTCTCCATGAGGCGCCTGGCTGTATCTCTGGCGAGGGGCTTGGGCTGCAACTGGGCCTTTACTTCCTAGGCTCGAAGGTGTGGACCGGAGACGTTGCACTAGGCCATGCAAGGTTCTAGGATTCGGCCAGCGTCCCGCGGCACTGCCTGCTTTCGCGCTTTATCATCCCTGCAGGGGTAATGGTACGGCGGTGTCACTTTGATGTTTGTGTCACTCTAAATACTTGTTGGGTGCTTTCGTTTCTGGACTCTTGGTGCTAGCTGCGGCACCAACTGGTAGAGCTTCTTCGCGCAAGCCTGGTGTCAACCGAACCAAGCATGGCCACAGTCTAAGCACCTTTAACCTTGAACACCTTCGCGCTTAGCCTGAAGTTCAGAACACCACACGACCACAGCCGACAAATCCCGCATCCCAAGCCCCAAAACTTCCACAACCCCCAACCGAGGCAACGTCTGCCAGCAGTTGCTCAAAGTTCTCTGGGATCATCTCCACCGGCCCTCGGCGACCAACATGGGAGAGTTCCTGGACAGGGGCTGTACTGCCCTGGTCAAGGACCACCTCCTGAAGGAGAGGAGATTGAGACAAGAGTAACGGCCAACCACTTCTGAACTCCAACCTCCCGAACCGTCGTAGATCCTCGACCCTTACCGCGATTGAAACCCAAACCCCAGGAGGGTTGGGCACCGAACAGCGGAGAGCGTTGCGCTGGCGCCGGGACCCTTGCAGCAGACGGAGAACCCTGGCGACTGGGTGGAAGAGCTATTTCTTGTTTGCTTGGGAGGTTTAGAGCCCAGGCGGTTCAGGGATTCAGGCGTTTGGGATTTAGAGGTTTGCGGCTTGAGGTGTGTAAGGGTGTTCACGCAGTGCTTCGGTCCGCTTATCTTTTGAAAAGCTTTCCGGGCCGAGGCATTAGGATTCAGATGCGTGGACACATGCACACAAAAGGTCTTGGCCAGGCCCACCAGAAACAGCGTAGTATCATGGTCAGAATCACCGCAGGAACCGATTGAATCTTGAAACCATCTCTTGGAGTCCGGCGGGCCGAATACCTTGCTTAGGCCCAACCACTCGTCCTAAACCCTGGCTTGCCTGCCTTGTGCGAGTGTGAGCGTCGAAACCCGGAAACCTCAAATCCCACCGAGGATCTCGGTGAGAGGGACGATCTGATTAGTTGGAGGTGTAGTCCCTACGCAGACCCCCGAGAGGATTTAGAAAGTAGATCCCCTAATTTGGGGCCCTATACTAAGGGTACTTTATAGGAACCTCCATGATCGAAGGGATCTAGTTTTTGGATCCTCCCGGGTGTCTGGGTAAGGGGTGCGTTGTAGTATTGTCCGACTCTCGATAGTATGTCCCACCTTCATCAACAGACCTCGAACTATATGCCTCGCCTGGATTGTCCATGTGTGAGCGCCGAAATCCCATGCCCCAAAGTTTAGGAAATCCAGTAGCTGAAACCGACACCTTCAACTCAAGACTATGAACTCCAGGTGTCTCATCCAGGATCCTCTTTCTTCCATCGTGGTGCCCCGGCCAAGGTTGTTGTCGGCATTACGAGCTTCAACCTTGATGTTTTGTACATGAAGGTTGTTGATTCAATATCCTCGGTTGGACAGTGGTGTCGGGCAGGAAGCACTTAATGCGCTGAACTCCATGCTGGCTTGTTGGGTACAGTGCAGGCAATGCTTAGCTGGAACACTTGTGGCTCCGCTCCGAAGCTAATGTTAATGAACTGTTCAGGAAGAGCTGTGATTGGTAGCCTATGACCCTAGCGCCAGAACTCTTAAGCCAACTAATCAACACTACAAAATTTCCTTGGGTTCTTGATTGTATATATACATATATATATATATATAGACACACACACACACACACACACCATCATACACCACCACCCCCCCCCCTCCCCGCAAGACTTTACATAGGGCCCTCCCACCTCGTAAGCGCAAAGCCCGCTGAGGAACATCCGCACCTGGCAGAAAACTACGATCCGGGTGCAGACTCGCTGATCCTGGCCTGCGAGCACACCATCACCAAGAACAGAGGCAATCGGACCCTAATCTCTGGTATTCAATTAGATGTTTGTTTTTTTGCTTAACTTTCTCGGGTTTTTGTCGTAGTACCCCCAGCGATTGTAAAAGAGATGCCCCTCAAATCCCAGTATTCGGCCTGGGCGCTTACCGAACGTGATGTCCCCGAGCCCAAAACCACCATGTCAGCTGGAGAGGAAGCTGATAGGAATGTGGTGATTCCTTCAGATCACTCATCCAGCCCGGTCCTTATACCCTATTCTTCATTGAGTCCCTGACCCCGAGCTTGGGTGATCTTCTTCGGTGGTCCTCATCTAGTGCATACTTGTTAGTCCGAGGATCTCAGCAGGAGTTTGGCTACATATCCCGTATGTTTCCGATTGCATTCCGTAGGCTGCTGTCAGTGGCCAGAAGCTCCGTCAGGATTGTTTCACTGCAACTCAGACCTCGAACCACATGCCTCGCCTGGTCCGTCCGATTGTGAGCGCCGAACTCCCCAGCCAAACCCTGAACCCTAATCCGCGGATTGTCGTGACATTGCTGCAAGGTAGGGTGTCCGTGTTTAGTTTAGTCTCGAGGGGCATTCTATTTGCAAGGTTTGAGCCTTTTTCCAAACAAAGATCCGAAGATGGGCATGTACAAACTCAATGTTGAAGCCTGTTGGTTTGGTTGGTGTGTTCGACGAGGATTTCAGGACTTTGCGTATGCTTTGAGTGTTTACGGTCAACAAAGTGGGTTTCTTGCTTGATGAGAAAGTGCTTAGTTCAGGAGCGTTCTGGCACAGCATTCCAGATTTGGGCATTTAAACTCTGCCTTGCGAACTTGCGGCTCTTGTGAGCTAGGTTGCCAACAGGCTCCAATCGTAATTCCTTGGGGCTCTCGAGTATGCATGTATGTATGTATGTATGTAGGTAGGTATGTCTGTATCTTGTATATATGTATATATGTATATATGTATATATGTATGTATGTATGTATATATATATATATATATGTATATATATATATGTATATATATATGTATATATATGTATATATATATGTATATATGTATATATGTATATATGTATATATGTATATATGTATATATGTATATATGTATATATGTATATATGTATATGTATATATATATATATATATATATATATATATATATGTATACGTACACGTATATGTATACGTACATGTATATGTATATGTATATGTATAGGTATAGGTATATGTATATGTCTATGTCTATGTCTATGTCTATGTATTATATGTATATGTATATGCATATGTATATGTATACGTATATGTATATGTATATGTATACGTATACATGTGTATATATATATATATATCTATTTTTACTTATATATGCTACATACAGTCTATTTACGATCGTGTAGTTGTTGCGACATTTGGCAGCCAAGAATCAGCTAGCCTTCCGTGCTTGCAAGAGCAGGGATCGACTGCAAAGCTCACGCTTCAGCAAGATGGGCCTCATTTACTGTATTGACTATGAGAGCATCTTAAGGTTTAGGGTTGAGGGGCATGTGCATATTGTGGAAGTCAGTGTTCAGGCGATTGCACAAGTCCTGATGCAACAAAAGGGGCATGAGCATTTGCAAAGCGTTCCTCTATTCTGTCTGGACTTTATACACTAAAAGCCTATAACCCTTGTAGCCCTACTCTGATGACGCATCCCGAGGTCGGGTCATCACCTACCTCACCAGTTTCCGGGACGGGGCACCCGCTCGTGTTCGGAACGAGTATCTGATGCGGTCGGCCTGTGTTGAAGCAGCCTGCTGCACATCCTTCTAGGGGTTGATCTTCTACCGGGCGGGTTGAAGGTGTTAGGGCCGCGAGGGGTTAAGAAATTCTAGGTGAAACGAGGCCCCGGAAGCAAGAGAGAGAGAGAGAGAGAGAAAGCAAACCTCCTCTGGAACGGTTTCCAGCGTCTGGAAACTGTTGGTGTCACAAGCGAAGCCTTTCCCCCTGTTGGGGCCACGGATCCGCCTCCGCCTCCGAGCCAATCCCGAGGCCCAGGGGATCTGAACCGTAATATAGGGACCTTAATGATTACCGATACTGTTTTGGGGGTTCTTTATTAATTATAACTGTAGTCTACTGGGCCCCAAAACCGTACTTTAATTATTAAGGCCCCTATAGTATGGGTCCACGTTCTCACCTAAAGCAAGACATGCCAAATCTAAATGCACAAGGCATTGAACCCTAAACCCTAAACGCCCTTAGGATCCCGACTTCGCATGATTACCTTTCCTATCCAAGAGCTCCCACGGGGGGGGCGGAGCCTGCGTCTGCATTGGCGTTTGTACATACGAACCAGGACGATGCCACGCCCCAAAATGCATATGTCACGGACTTTCCGGGCTTTCGCGTCCTTCGGTTGAACGGACGCTGTGAAATCATAGCCTTTAGATGCCGGCTGGTGTGGGTTTTAACGGATTTCTCACTGGCCCAGAGGTTTCTGGCCTGGGTTTTTCCTGTGGCCTGATGCATTTCTTCTGGCCTAACCTTGTTCCAGGCGAAGATCACTAGGCCATAGGGAAAATAGATCAGGCCACAGGTTAGGCCATAGATTAATAAGGAATTTTCCCGGCCCTTTGGAAAACCGAGGTTTAAGGCATTCACAGGTGGAAGGCCGTGAGAGGCCCAGCGATATCGCAGCAAACGCTGGAAGGCATTGGACACATTGAAAGCCTAGGTCTCGAAACAATGCTCAAACTATGCCAGGGCTCGTGCAGGTCTTTCAAAGGTTAAGCAAGTCTCGAAGTCAGAGAAGGTTCTGCAGAAGCAAGTCAACTTCCAAACTGCCTGCGTCGCAATGACTAGGCACCAGGCATGCATACATTCTCCGAATACACTTGGCACCTCCCCACAGCCCCTGATGCGGTGCTACATGCGTTGCCGGCGTCCGCCGGTCTTGCTGATGTGAATGAATTGGTCAACATTGAGATTGGGGGTAGAGGGGGGGTGTTAGGAAAGGAGTCCAAGGACTGCAAGACATTTCAGCAAACACGTTGGGAGCTCACGGGCGGCTAGGTTGATTTCCAGCTTCAGAACGTGCTGCGAATCTTATCGAGGCGGTCAAGCTCCTAAAACACAAGAAACGTAGGACACATCAGGTGACCTCCACATTGTATGTATGTGTGTATGTATGTAGGTGGGTAGGTAGGTATGTATGTGTAAATGTATGTGTGAGTATGTGTGTATGTATGTATGTATGCATGTATGCATGTATGCATAAGTATGTATATGTATATGTATATGTATATGTATATGTATATGTATATGTATATGTACATGTACATGTACATGTATATGTATATGTATATGCATATGTATATGTATATGTATATGTATATGTATATGTATATGTATATGTATGTGTATGTGTATGTGTATGTGTATATGTATATATATATATGTATATGTATATAGGTATATATGTATATATGTATATATGTATATATATATGTATATATATATATGTGTGGATAAAATATGCACATACATACACATGCCTGGTGAACATGATTCTAACATTGCTGGATTTGTTGCACTGCTTGCTATCTGGCTCGAGGTCTTGCCACCGAACAGTTTTAGATATCTGCTCTCGCACAGGTGTAGTCGCAATGTGGCGCAGTGTGGTGCGTCTTGCTTACCTCGGAGTTGCTTGCGCTGCGGTCTTGTCCGAGAACACATGTGACGGAAGGCAGGCAGATTTTTGAGTTCTGAACCAATCAGCTTAAATTGGCTGGTTTCAACTTTTAAGCCCGAACCTGTACATCTCACGTAAGCCGCGCTTGGCATCCCAACCCTCCGCACCTCAAGGCAACCCAAAACACACTGAACCTCCAACCCCGAAGCCCTATTGCCCCAAGCCCCATTCGTAGGAGGCCAAATGGGGTTTTAGACTATGGGGGTTTAGTAGGCATTAGGGTTCCCATAAAAATGGGTTCATATTAAGGAATCCCTACCCCAAGCCCCACGCCCTAAACCGGCACCCTGGAGGGTTTCCGCATCTGACCCGAAGGCCGGCCGCTTCCTTCACGGGTGGTTATGAGGGTCTGGGGCTCCTAGGTTTAAGCAGGTTGTGTAGGGTTTTAGGATTTGGTTGGTTTGGAGTTGCACTGCTGCACTTGTTTCAAACCCTGCTTTTCAAAGTGCCGAAGAAGTCGGTACCCGAGTTTGGGGTATTCTTACTTTCATGTTTGCGTGCCAGCTTCTAGGCGAGTTGAACAAAAATTGGACACTTGGACCTTTAGGGTCACAGGCTCTCTCTCTCTCTGCGCAAGTCTCTCTCTTGCTTTGTTTCTACTTGTAAGTAACAGTGCCTCTTCGTCTTTCTCTCTCTCTCTCTCGATGTCGCTCGATGTCGCTGCGTCTTTTTCCTTGTTTCTGTTCCCATGTTTGTGTTCGCGTTGTCCCCGTATGCAGGAGGGGGCTTGCCGAAGAAGTGATATGATCCAGGAAAGCGGCACGGATTGCAGCAGCCTCCTGCAGTCTGCTCCTCGCCGGGTCGTGTTGGACCCGAAGAAGGATCTCATCAGGTTCAAAGCTTATTAGAGTTCTGTAATTCTTGGCATTACAAGGGTATACAAGGGTTGTATGCAGTAGGTTGCAATTGACAGAAGGGGGGCTTTGAAGGGGCCCTCACCCGCCGCATGGCTTACCCAGAGACTCCATTGTGACTCCTTGCTTGAAATTTGCGAAACATTCCTTACTTAAGAGGCACCTACCCTTTCAGGGTCGTACTATTTTTGGAAGGCTCGTTGGCTCAGGTATTTCTTACTGCAGGGATTCTGCAGTCCCTGGGCTGAGGTATGTCCCAAATCCTAAACCCTAAACTCTGTTAGGACAATCTTGGAGGATTCGGGCCTGACCTTTCTGGGCCGTGTGTAGCGTCGCCTCAGGAATCTACTAAAAGGGGTCTGAATAATTGGCAATACTAGTCCCTCGTGTTCCATAACACCTAAACAAACACGTGTATGTGTGTATACAATATGAGTATAACTATATATATATATATATATATATATATATATATATACACGCATCTGTTGAGAGAGAGAGAGAGAGAGAGACCCTCCAAAAGCAGCTTAGTTTAATTGCTTCGGCTTCTAACATAGCCGCTCGGCCATTCGGAGGAGCAGATTGGCGGCGAAAGCGAAGGCAAAACAAATTGGCCTCGTTCTGCGCTCAGACGAGTAGTGCAAGCTGAGGTTCCGGTCTTGCAGGCTGCAATCTGCACTGCTTTAATTGCCGGCCGCTATCTCCGACGCTTTATGGTTGTTAAGAGTTTAGGGTTTTTAGGTCGCAGAGTTTATTTAAATCAGGGTTTCTGCAAGTTCCTGCATGGTTTAAGGCTTAGTGTAAGGTTTAGATTTATGTAGCGGTTGGGATGGCTTTGGGTTTGTGTGGATTTACGTGGGGTTTAGGACTCTGTGCCGGGAAGCTTGAGGAGGAGCAAGCACCGACGCTGCAATGAGATACGCCATGCACAAGGCAGTTTTCAAGCTGCGAACCCGATGTCTGAAAGGAAGCAGCCACACAAAAGATTAGTTGGCGCTTGAACCACCCTCACAATCCCTGTATACATAGAGAGAGAGAGAGAGAGAGAGAGAGAGAGAGAGGGGAGGTCCAGCCCACATACTTGCTTACTCTTCAGGTAGCAGGTCTAGCACACCGAAATCGGGGCAAGGCCACCCCCACTTTTTGAAGTGACGAGTCGGAGCGAGGCCCACACATAGTAATGTATACATGTGTCCTGTCGAGGCCCAGACCTGACTCGGTAGAAGCCCCCACTGCTGCGGACTCCACACGCACAGCAACCGGAGTGCTCGCGGAATATCTGCGAATCAAGCGGGGCAGCAGGGCGTGAGCCATGTACAACATATACTCGGAGCGTGCAATGTACTGTGTTGTTTGTAATAAAATGGGTCTTGTTTGCTTCAGCTCAGCCCGTGGGGAGCTCGAACCTTTATTGCACGTAAAACCGTGCGCACCGCCAACAGCACAGGCTGCCCCAGCGGGGGCATGCCCTCAAGCCTGGAGAAAGAGAGAGAGAGAGAGAGAGA